TTGCAAGGGAGCTAGTGTCTTTTTGGGAAGATGAACAAAAAGGCCATTACAGTAGTTCATATGTGAGAAAATTAAAGCATTTGCCAATTTGAAACAAGTTGGACGGTCCAAATACTTTTATACATAGCAATCGCGGCCACTTTGGATTTAGCAGCGATGTGTTTTGTGAGATTAAGGTTTTGATCAAATGAAACTCCCAGAAGCTTCACGCAATCTGACCTGTCTGCATCAGTATCAGCAATGACCATCTTATTTGTAGATGCTTTGGGTAATAATCTGTTGCTGCCGAAGATAGTAAATTCGGATTTGTTTTTATTCATTTTTAGCCTATTTGCGTGCATCCAAGAATTCACTTTAGCAAGACTGTGTTCCAGCTCTGTCATAGTAGCTATCTCAGATACCATATCACCTGCGTTGAAACTACCATAAATGGTATGATCATCTGCATAACCTGCAAGAGTGAGTAACTTATTAATAAGAGACTCCAAAGTACTTGCATAGCGTGTAAAGTAAATAGGGCCATTTATAGTGCCCTGTGGGACAGAAAAATTAATGTCAATAGGAGATGAATGAGAGTTGTTAATGGCGACATCAAACTGCCGTTCAGAGAGATGATATAATCCATTTTTTGGCATCACCACATACACCAAAACAATTTCAAAGAAGGTCAACCAAGAGAGAATGGTTAACCGTGTCAAAGGCTGCACTTTGATCTATTGCCACTGGTGGAGATAACAGACTATTTTCCATATTGTTAAGAAGGATTGTTTGAGAGTTTCTGTACTGTAATGACGTCTGTGCACTCTGATGTGACGGAAGCAGATTGAATGTATCCATAGGAGTGGTAAAGCTAATGAGGGATGCTTTCTCAACTATTTTAGATAAATATGACAAGTTGTTCACCGGACAGTAGTTCTTGAGTTCTTTTTCTAGATTAGACTTTTTAGAAGCGGCTTAACTATTGCGTATTTCCAGTGTGGATGGAAAAAATTGGACGCAAACGATGTATTGATTATGTGACAGCTGGATCGTGGAAGAATGTCACTGTATTTTTATAAGTGCTGATAGTATTGGATCTCTTTGACCTGTTGTCGGTTTAGCTTTGTTTAGTAACACTTCCAACGTAGTGAATGGTGGAAACTCTGGAACATCTAGTGTCGGTGGTTGAAATAGTGGAGTCTTGTCAAGTTCGTTCCGAATCTTATCGACTTTGTTATAAAAATACTCGGCGAATTCATTTGCTAAACCAGTGTCAGATAGTGAGTCTGGCAGAGGGTAGGATTTAACATTACCTATGAGGTTATTGACATTATTGAACAGCCTTTTGGTATTATTGCCGCATGACTCAATTTTGGCTTGCATATAGGTTCGTTTAGTCATATCCAAGTAATGTTTGTATGAATTACGAAGTTTGCAGAAAATCTCTCGATTATGATTAGTTCTGTGTTTACACCATCTTTTCTCGGCATTGCCTACTGTTGTTTTGTAATGTTGAGCCTGGGCGTCAAACCAGGGTACAAAAGGTCTTACAGTGAAACATTTGGTTTTTAAAGGTGCGTGCTTATCAAGTAACTCTGTATGTACATAAACTGTTATACAGTATTAGTATTTAGATACTAGTACATGTATATCCAGATCGTTGCAAGACTCCAGTTCGTTGGCTATCGCGTTGATGTCTTCCCTAAAAGCATCATCGTTAATAGTCTTAATCCATCTATATTGTATTTGCTTACGCACAAGTATTGGACGACGCGTAGATAGCTTTGCTACCACAAACCTATAATCAGATAAATGATGGTTAACTCATGATATCGGTTACGCAGAAGTCCTTATTACGATGCAATATCAGATCAAGAGTGTTTCCAGAAGTGTGGGTGGGCTCATCAACCAACTGCTTAAACGCAAAGGTATCTAATAATTTGGTGAAAGCATCCACATCTGGATCTGCGACTTTATTTACGTGGATGTTAAAATCACCTAAAATCAGGACTTTGTTATGGGAAAAAACTATATCACCAATGTAGTCGGCAAATTCACGAAGAAACACACCTATAGACACAGGGTGTTGAACTGAGTAAGGGGGTCTGTATATAATCACAATCATAATCTTAAAGTTGTTGATTGTTTTTGAATATTTTGCATATTCGAGGCAACACCACTTGTTGCCTCCTCGACAGTGATGGCATTCCTGAAAAATATTCCCGCGCCTCCACCAGGTCGATTTGCTCGTAGGTTACTAATAAAGTTGTATCCTGTTGGTCTAAGACTGGCTATTTCAACCTGATCATGACCTTTTCACCACTTTACCGTGATCACACAGAAATCAAGATCATTGCTAAAACAGTAATGAAGAAAAGGCTGGCATTTGTTCCTACTAGACCTTGCTCACAATGAATATTATTGCCGTAGATCTGTTGTTTTGGTAGCGAGCGTAGTAAATTATTATTTCTAGTTCGACCAATGAACCTGTCCTCATCGTAATTATAATGCTATGTTTATTTTTCCAGCTCCGGCCTTTGGATCCACAGTGTGTAGGTTTAAAGGCATTAATCTTAAGATTTATTAAATGGTTCCAGATATCTTGAGGCAAATTATTCCTTTGCTTACCAAATCCATTGTTGATCAAATTAAAATTCAGACTAAGAAGTTCACACTTGCTGTATGTGATCATTGTAGACTCTAATTTGCAGTGTGGTTGGTGGTGCTGTATTAATAATGTTAATACTTGAATTAGATGCCATGGGAAACGAGGAGTGAAGAATCTTAGAAGAAAAATTCCAATATGTATTTGTACTAGATCTATAAATGTTAACAGGGATCGACAGGAATGCGGAATTAACGTTGATAATTTGATTCATATAACTTCTCGATGTAATGCTGTCAGTAATGCTAGCCTTGGTCTTCCATCATTTTTTCTTATTAATGCTTGATCTATTGTTAATAAAGTTAGTGAATTTCAAGCAACTATTATAAAAAATAATGTTGACATTGCAGTTATAACTGAATCATGGCACTAAGCTGCTGGGGAGGCCACACCCATCCTTGGGAATCCCCACCGAATATTGGTACGAAAAAAACATACATTCAATCAATAAATGTTGTTTATCAAACGTAAATATGATTTAGCTTTAGTTTACTGTAACATTCATTAGATTTGAAGAATATAAAGAATTTGTTAAAGGTATACCAGGCAAAATTAGGCTAGGCCGAGCTGATTAGGCCAAGCCGTCTCGGTATAACATGGCCGTCCTAAATAATTGTAGGCTGTCCAAAAGGCAGCCGGACGGCTTGCTGGCTAAGCCTTGGCACACTAATCAAACACAGTACAATGAATTATCTGTCAAAAAATTATTTATTTCCGTCAATGTTTTCATACAGAAAATGAGGACCAATTGCACAATCCAACTAACAAAAAACATACAATAAATACAGAAAAGTTTACTCAACTGAAAGTTGATTTACAGCATTGCACTTTAATATTAGTTGTGTCCATACATTACAATATTATAATTAAGAATTTTAAGCAAATATTGCCCCACAAACATACAAAACAGACTTAAAAATCCTTTGAACTGAACTACCTATGAAAGACATTGATAAACAGCCTTCTTGGATATGGTATAAACAAAGAGTAAACTAATGGTTATATGAAAATCAACAGGAAACCAGTTTACTTATGACTACAAAAATAATACTTTAATGGAAATGAAATATAAATTTTAAGAAATGAAATACATGTATATGGTACAATTGTATATTTAAATAGGTTGTATTATTTCATTTATACATTGATTTGATTGCGTTACTTTTATGAGGAAATGAAAATGCATATTAAATAAAAATATAAGTGGTTTTAATCTTGTAACCATAAAATGTATTCATATCTACATTACAGAATCTGTATTCCTTGTCTACATAATATACATCTACTACAGTATACTTTAATCATATGAATTACAAACAAGGCTTTAGTGTCATAATATAGTACTTTTATTATTAAAAATCAATATTGCATTACAGGTATATAGACGGATTATTGAAAAAAATTATTATAGTGAAAGACATATTTTATTTTACATAGGTTTACATAATTATGTTGATAGAGAATAGATTAACTATTCTAGTGGTTTGGCTGGAGCGGGGCACACTTTGTCCTTTACCGCATCTTTGCAAAATTCTCTCACATGATTAAACAAGTACCATTGTCGCTTAAGGGGTATTCCAGGAGAAGGCAATTGAGCAGGCAGATCTACTGGTGGCAAGTTATGTACACTCTTTAGTAGCTGAAATTGTCGCTCTTCGCTATCAATGAAATCCTTACAAAACACAACCCCTGGATGTGCTGCACTAAAACGGAGATGATGTAGCTTCAGGATCCCAGGAATCTTGTTAAAGTATGGAGTAAGAAATTCGCGCCAGTCATAATTCTTGACAAAAACTTCTCCATTCTCATTGCCTACCAATCTTGGTATGTTGACTCCAGCACTTGAAGATGTATTCACAACTTCAACCAAATCTTCCAACGAGCTGACAAAGCACTTAGAGAAGCGTTGTTTCAACAATCCAAACCCACTGTCAGGTGTAAATTTCGTATGGCCAGCAAGCATAAAATGTACAGAAATTTCGCTATGAAAGCCATGGATACACCGCCATGTAAGATACCACATCAAGAAATTGTTTTTGTTCTGTCCTGAACAATTATCACAGTTTAAAATTACTCTTTTCTCGCCTAATCCATTGGTACTGAAAAAATCGTGCAAATAAGATGTTACTCCATTAGAGCCTTTAAACAGGTTGTGCGCTTCGTCAATCAAATAGTTTACTTGCCTGGTGAGCCCTTCTGCATCAACACCAAACATTGCACATTTTCTTTGGGTTATAAAATATACTGGGCCGGGTTGCAGCGGGTCATTGGATACAGCACCTGTTGTGCGAAATCAAAACTGTAATGACTGGTAATGTTTTGGCTGCAGGCCTCGTGTGGTCCTAGCATCTGGCCTTTAAGAGTTTCTTTTGCGTCTACCGCGTTCTTCCGATAAAAGTTGCGAAAGTTGTCTAGCCAAACTGCAAAATAATATAATATAATCAATAAATATATTTTAATGAAAAAAACTAATTATATATTTATTAAAAAATAACAATTATATTTATGTAGTTTTTTTTAGTGGAAGAGAGACAAAGATTATTTTAATTGTGGTAGATTATGACTTGGCATACTATTATATTAACTTATGTGCAGTTTTGCTTTTTTTCTATCATTTATTATGCACATGAAATTCTGAAATAAAAAGACATTTTAAATAATATAGACTAAACTTACCTCTCCGTCTTTTGTGCAAGAGAGCTGTTCGCACTGGGGTAGACTGCAGAATTATTTCGCTGGCACTGCCAACATAGATCCGTCTTTGGTTTCGTTACCTTTATGAAAGGGCAGTGGTCCTTCCATATCTTCTCAAAAGTTGTTCGTTTTGCAACTCTCAAAGGCCCATGACCTGTAAAATACAGAGCGATTAGAAAGTTACAAGATTTTTACAAGTTGTTTGTAAGGGAGTTAACTGGTTTTTTTTCTTTTCTTTTTCAAAGTAACCTATCACAAACATTTGTAATAGAGATATGTAAATTATAGACCTACCTGCAACATGTCTTCTTCTGTTTACTTCATCCATTTGTGCAGTGTATTTTCGAAATAGTGAAGCTTTAGACACCGATGTTGGCAACAACCGAATTTTTGCATCAGTGCCTCTCACACCCATTGTCTTGCCTGGCAGCATCATTCCATGTCTTTCACCAAAATTTGTGATGAACGTCGCTACATGCTTGGTGTCACCAAATGAAATACCATTCTTTCCATACTTTCGTCCACCTGAATTCTTTACTGGGGCAGTAGCTCCATTTGCCTTATAGTGTTTCAGGATGCCACTCATCTGATTTGAAGAAATACTACAGTACAAAGACAAAGATTATAAAAGTTATGTTTATAGTTAGTAAGACAGTAAAGTTATTTTAAAGGGGAAAAAATTACTTTTCACTAAAAGCATTAGAAGTCATTGCAGGGATAATAAAAGTGAACTGAAAAAAACTTAAAAGAATTCAAAATCCTACCAGTGAATGAACTCAAATGATGTTCGACACACTCTGTTCCCCTCAATCCAGTACGTGCAACTTGTTTGTTTTCGAAGGGATTGCCTTCTCCTTTTAGTACATTGTGTCATTGTTCCTCGATTTATGCTTGTGCTGATGTGTCCCATGATGAACAATTTCCTTTCAGCACTGGAAAGTTCACACATCTCCATTCTTCGCTGGAGAATGAAAACAACATCAAAGAGTTGGGTGCATGGCTGGCCATTCTTACACTTACATCCATTGAATGCACGAATCTTATGACACTCAGCTTCAGTTTGAGGATTGTCCCAATCATCATGATTAAATTCCTTCAGCCTAAAACATTTTGAAAGAAAAATAATTTAATTAACAATGTCATGGAAAAAATATGTCTAGTCATGTTGATTCACATATTAACCGAATTAAATGCATGTTTAATTTATCACCACATTATTATATTTTTGACTTTTTAATAATAGTTAATATATTTTGTCTTAGAAAAACTAAACTAATTAGGGCCTGTATTAAAATAAGAATATTAAATTACATAGGGGCCATAGGATCCTACATAAGTATATAATTTTGCTTAGGCCTAGTAGTATTACTCATTGTAAGATTGGTAAACAGAAAAACAGACCTAAGCAAACAATAAATATAATATAAGCAGAATATAAATTGACCTATTTGTAGTATGCCTAAATTAACAATCAATAAAGTTTATGCTCTACTCATTACATAATACCTGGTCAACGCCCATGGGACTACTAAAACTACACAGAGAATTATTATTAGCCTATGGCCTAGGCTCCTGAATAACTGTATTTCATTGGTAAACTATAGCATTTTTTTACAAAATTAGGCATTCAGGCTAACGTTACTCCCACTTATTTACAATATTTATTTGTAATGTAGGGTAGTACTTACACCATCAGAGGCACATCATCGGCTGTCAAAATGTCAGACGTTGGTTGGCCGACGTTAGGATCTATGTTTTCGTCGTTTTCTTCATTTCCATTTTCATCATACTCGTCACTTTCTTCTTCCTCCTCCTCCTCATCATCATCATCCACATCGTCCTCTTTGTCTCCAAAAAACGATGTAAAATAATCATTGACGATGTTTACGTCTTCATCATTTAAACCGGAATCCTTAGCATTGTTTACTGCAGCTAAAATCGCCTCCTCAATTTGATCATCGTTGTTCTGCTTGGCCATCTTTACCTGTCTAAATTCAGGCTAGGCCTAGGAATAACTATCGAACTACTGCTACTTTCGCTAATATTCTAAATACGATTCTCTTAAGTTTTAAACAACAAACTGCAATGATTTTCTTTAAAAGAACCAGAACACTCGTTGCACGCTTCGATTACTTCGATTGAAAACACGCTAACTGCGCGTGCTCTGTAAGCCTAGAATGGGCTATTGAGCATGCGCAGTAAGGCTTGAATGAGCTCGGTTTTGCATCCACCAATCAGCTAACGTGAAAGATGCGATTGTTTACACATGTATAGCAACCATATAGGCCTACAAAACCCTCTGTAATTGGTTGGAATTCACTCCTATCTCTGAACTGTTGAACTGCTGACAAAGGTCACATTCTAAGGAAGCCATCGGTACCAAACACATGGGGTGTTTATGTGATTTTGACCACGCAAGAGGCGATATAAAATGGACGTTTTATTGAATTTTGACGGTGGTTTTGGAGTAGTTTTTCAACATTCCTTGATCGAATCATGTTCAGAAAAGACATAAAATAACAGGTTTGTTGACCATTTCAAGAACTGAGACTTTTGGACATGATTTATTAGACATGTATTTATCGATTTATAGTAAAAAAAAAAAAATCGAGTTTTAGGCCATTTTTTGACCTCCGAGGCTTTATAGGCCATTTACTCAATAACGGCTTGTGCGACAACTTAGCCTTTTCGCCACAACGTGCCTCATATCAGCAGTTCACAATGCAAGAGTCTGTTGAGCATAAAAGGTGTTGTTTCGAATTTTTGTGGACAAAGATTACAATGCCTCACACCTGCAAACAGAGAAATCTACGTTGGTGCTATTTATTACCCTCCTTCGTCTTCTGGTAGCTACGATCTCACATTATGGTAACTATTGATTTAATTGTTACTGCTAATCACACTGCTCCTATTTTAATGCTTGGTGATTTCAATGATTTACAAACTGAAGATATCGTCACAGGTCTTGATATGACCCAGGTTGTTAACTGTCCGACGCGTGGAGATGCCATATTGGACAAGGTGTTTTTGAACTGTCGTGATCCTAAGCGTTTGCCTACTTTGGGTCAAAGCGAACACGATTCTCTTTTGTTGGAACCTTGCATCTCAATACCTCGAAAAAACTCACTACTATAAATTATAGTACCACGATACCTTTTAGAGAATCTTCTGTTAGATATTTCGGTGAATGGATCACTGATTATGACTGGCTCCAAGTTTATAATGATGATTCTTGTTCGGATAAAGGTGAGGTATTTCACAGGATTTTGACGGTTGAATTTTCGAGAGCATTCCCGGTTTTGATTAAGCGCAGGAGAGTTTCTGATCCACCGTGGTTAACTTACTGTGTTAAAAATTTAATGGAGAAGAGACGAGATATATACCAATTACGGAAAAAGCGGGAATTGGAGAAACTTTCGCAATGCAGCCCAGAGAGCAATCAAACAAGCTAAAGCTTCTTTTTATAATAATTCCATTGCCAATCTGAAACTCAATAATGCGTTGAGATGGCATCATAGAATCCAGCAACTTTGTAATCTTAAACCTAAGGCACCTTTCAGGATACTTGGTCTGGGCCTCAAGATACAGTGGAAGATATCAACACCCATTTTGCCAATGTTTGTTTTCAGCTCTCCGCCCTTGACACAACAAGACTACCTGCATATTTACCGTCTTTTCAACCTCTGATGATCTTTGTTGGCCAAGTTCGTGCTGAACTTGACAAGTTAAAAATTGGTAAATCTTGGCATCCGGATGATGTAACAGTGAAGCTTATTAAACAGTTCAGTTTTGAGATTGCTCCTCCATTAACTAATGTTTTTAATTGAACTTTGAAAGAAGAATCGTTTCCTGACCTATGGAAGACTGCTACGATTGTTCCCTTGCCTAAAATTAAATTTGCAAGTAGTTGTAATGATTTAAGGCCTATTTCTTTGACTCCCATTTTCGCTAGAGTTTTTGAAACATTTTTGGTAAATTGGATTGTTCAGGATATCAGCAGCAAGTTGGACTCTAACCAATTTTGAAGCAGAAAAGGGGCTTCGACTACCCACTATTTAGTTAGCTTGATTGATACGATTTTAAAAACATTAAGGGGGGTGGGGGTTGGTAATAAGTATGTTAATCTTTGCACCATTGACTTTGCAAAAGCATTTGATCAGGTTGATAATAATCTCATATTAGTAAAATGAATAATATAGGCGTTAGACGGTCTATTATTTTCACCGTCTGCAGCTTTATCACAAATCACACCATAAACACTAAACATGAAAATGAATTCTCAACTACGGCTCAAATTACGTGTGGCGTCCCACGGGGAACCTAATTGGGTCCTATCCTGTTTCTTATTCTAATTAATGATGCGTGTTTTGAGAGCTGCAGACAGTCGAAATACGTTGACGATTTAACTTTAAGTGATACGATTAAAATCGGTAATAACTCTAATATGCAGGCCTCACTTGATGAGTTTAATCAATGGAGTAACAATAATAATATGTTACCTAAGCCAACTAAATGTTGCTCTATGCAAATTAGTTTTCTTCATAGAGATGTTCCACCTCCCCGTTTCTCTATTAATGGCGTTGAGCTTAAAGAGGTTGGCCATTTTAAATTGTTGGGCGTAACTATTAGTAATGATTTAAGATGGAATATTCATGCTGACGATATCGTAGCTGAGCTTCTAAGAAATTGTTTACATTATGCATTCTTAAAAGAGCTAATGTTCCTGTTAATGATCTTATTAGTGTTTATGGGTCTATATAAGACCGTTATTATAATATGCATGTCCTGTGTGGCATTGTTATCTTTACTGAGAAAAAGTCCTGTGCCATTGAAAGAAATCAGAAGTGCGCGTAGATATGTTGAGGTGTGTGATATCGCTGGTCTTCCACCGCTGTCGACAAGGAGGGAGCAATTGTTGTCCTTTGGTAAGAAACTTCTTGCCTCTAATTTATTTTGTAACATGCTGCCTCCTTGTTGCCAACTTATCATAGACCTGCGATCCCGCCCTTTACTTGAGATTCCTTTCGGCAAATTCTAGCGATTTAAAAGGTTACCTGTTGTTACAATAACCAAAATTCTAAACTATGTTATATTGAATGTGGTTGTTTCTCCTTCAGTTCATTAGGCCTCTGTATCTTTATTTGTGAGACTACATTTCCAGCCTTTGGCTGCTTGTATGTCATTTTTATTTTTTGAATTTTTGAATAAAGTAATAAAGTATACCTGAATATTGATAATTGTAGAAAAAGTACAAGTGTTTACCTGGTAGTGTCAAAGGTCAGGGTCAAAGTTGGATTTGTAATAGGTTTATACATTATAGTAAACAAATTCTGCTTGGCATTCAGAATTAATTTTCTATACATTTTGCATAAATAATAATAAGTACTAAGAAATCAAAATCACACATTTGATTTCCAACTGACCTCTCGGTGTCATTAGGTCAAAGGTCAACCTCTTATTCTGGAAGTTAAGCAGGATATTTTTTAAAAATGCAAATTTTTTCTCTAATTATTCACATGTAAATATTATTGAATACGAATAATAGTTGCACACAAAAAAGGTTAAAATGACCTTGCAGTGTCAAAGGTCAAGGTCAAAGTTGGATTTGTAAATATACTATACAGCATTCTAAATCTATTTTAAAAATTGTGAAGCTCATGTATGACAATAACAATAGTAATTATTATGGCAAATATTTTGCAAGTAAAATATACACATCAAATCAATTAAATCAAAACTGCACATTTTATTTACTTAATTACCTTAGTGTCATGGGTCAAACGCCCATTCAAAGTTGCACACATTTTGAAACCAACAAATTTGTGTGACTATTAGTACTGTAGATATCATCATCACAAAAAGATCACTGTCTTTGTCAATATATTTATGCAGAAACCACAGGCCACACGATTTTTATTGGGTGGATGCGAATTTGTGAAAAGTGGACCAAAATTCGGGGGTAGGGGACCCTCCTGAGGTCGAGTGGACGTTCTTGATATTTTGAGGTCTTAATAGATTTTGAAGATGCAATATGAATATTTCAATGGCAGGTCAGGAAATGATGAGGCGGCCAGGGAGGGACCTTAGCCCCACCATGGTTTGGACTGAGGTAGGAAATTTTTTAATTATGGCAACCCTAGGCAGCTGGATATTTTTTTTTTAAATGCAAATTTTTCATCTAACTATTTACACACAAAAAGGTTAAAATTACATTGCAGTGTCAAAGGTCAAGGTCAAAGCTGAGTTTATTAACTATACTTATTGTTGTTTTAGCATTTGCAATGCTAAAACAACAATTTTTAACGATTTGGTGATGGTTTCTGCCTGAGAAATGCCCAAAATCATAAACTTTGAAGGCTGATTTTTCAAATATTGTTCTTTATAAACAGTTGTATGTTTAAACTGCTGTAACTTCTTAACAAAATGTCGGGTTTAAATGATTCTTTTACCATTTGTGATTTTTGCAACGAGTGACTGGTTTGGCTTGTCTCTGCCACATTTTCTCTTAATTTTATTGTAATGATTGCCATTGAATGCAAAATAAATCAAATCAAAAAATCTAAAAAAAGAGCCATTTTTAGCTACTTAATTCAAGATAAAAATTTGTTGAAAAGGCATTGCATTTGTTATGAATACTGTAGTATCATTAAAAATGTTCTATGGGATGCCTGTAAAAAGAAGTAAATGTAGGCCAAGATTAAAAAGGCATTGAACGTTGAGTCAGCAGTAGTACTCTAGTTTGTTACTGTATTTTGTATTAGATTGATTTCATGCAGACTCATAGTGTAGGAACGGTAATAAATGAAAATAATAAGAACAAACCCTGTTGTGGCATATCTGTGTACTAAAAAAATAATGGGCCGCAGTCGATCCACCTTGCATCAAAGGACTTGTGTTGCAAGCCCATTAGGCGAGTTTGCACGCCGGCCAGACGGCCTCCATTCCGCCGACCAGGTTTTGACACACGCCCTACTCTGGCCAGTGGTAGATCTGCTCAAGTGTAATGATTTACACGAATCGACTGTCTGTTGTGGTCGGAAAAAGTAACATTTAAAAAAATTCATCTTCCTATCAGCACTAATTTTGAGGAGACCGATATACATGTTATTTTTATCAATGTGTGAAGATTTGAAGTAAATCACTTCTGTAATTTTTGAGTTGTGCACCCAGAAGGACACACAGACATGCACTATTGCAGTAGCCTTCACCCTCCTTTGGGGAGGGAAAAACTGAAAATTACTGTCAAGTGACCTAAAAATAACATCATTCAAATGAATTTCAAAGGTGTATACCAGAGAGATTCTGTTATGCATTTGGGTTGATAAGATGATACAGTAGTCAGTGGCATATCCAGGAGGGGTGCTCTGGCTGCCTGAGCCCCATCCTTCAGAGGTTGGGAAAAATATAAAAAGTGCCCCTTTTAAAGTTTTTAAAAACAACTGACTTGGTGGGGCTCAGGTGGATATGATAGTTTTCAGAATTGTAAGTATTTAAATGCCATTACCGGGCACGAATTTTATTAGTTCGTTTTATTTCCTTTTTGTCAAAAATAAAAAGGAAAGGGAATTTAAGTGCCATTTCCAGACATCCTGGTGTAAACATACTGAAAACTTTCTTACCCCCCCCCTCCTTCCTTAAACCCTGGATACGCCACTGGTAACCACAGTTTTAAAATTTAGGTTTAACAAATATATAATTCAACTGTTGAAAATATTTTCTACTAAAAGGTCGATTATATTTTCATTTCAAATATTAAAGTTCAAGGCTCTCCACCCCCCCCCCCCCTTAAAAAAAAAAATACTGGAGAAAAAAAGGAAAATTCTTTATTTTAATACAATCTGAGGGTGCGATTTCCGGCTATCTACAAGTGCCATAATTATAAAAAATTTTACCTTAGCCCTAACCGTGGTGCGTTGAGATGGACCCTCTATCAGTGAAATCCCTCTATGGGAGCCCCTCTATTATGATTTCCTGTATCTTCCACTGTTTTTTTTCAAAAGGACGATCATTAGTAAACAAAAAGCGCTGTAATAATAATATTTTCAACATAAAATGTAACTTTTTTGGAATCTTACAAAGGTTGATGTACAGTTTACCATGACATTTAATATTACATTAGTTGCAATAGTTACACATTTGAAGTTCATTTTGATAATGTTATTTTTAGGTCACCTGACAGTAATTGACCAATCAAATAGCATCTTTTGTCAGTCAATCAATAGTAGTTTGTAAAGCCAATAAACCAATATCGCCATTTGCCATCATATGGGTAAACATCCTAGGAGCCAGACCAGGTTTTGTATGCACTATGAGGTGCAGAGAATTTGATTCAGAAATTGGTTCAGGGTGGTCCAAGAA